AAAACAAGAACTTTCAAAGTCGGTTTTAGTTGTTTTACTCAAATCTGCACTAATGATACAACCTTTTATTTTAGAAGGAATATTTTTGGCGACTTCTTTTAACATCTTTATCTCTCGCTAATAATAGCATACGCGAGCCTTTTTCTAAGAGCGAACCAAATGTTATTGCAATTTGTTGACCGATACCATGGCTTGCACCGGTTATCAGTAGAAAAACTTTACCACATAACATTTCGACCAACATGATTATAAATTAACTTTATGTTACAAATTTGGAATCTAATTATTGTTCTAATATACTATTGTGCTCTGTTGATAGCTCTTTTGTAAATCCTCTATAATATTTCCTTCCTATCTGATCACTGTGGGAAGAACGTCTGCTTTCAAAAAATAAACTGATTCAGTGCCGTTGAAGCTTGAACAAAAAGCAAATAGTAATTATAAATAACACAGAATGTACTCATGTACAAGATTGACTTGAAGATCTAATAATTGAATAATTATTATTCAGAATTAATAAAAATATAAGATAGAATAATAATTATTCTAATAATTATTATTTGAATTTAAACATATTCAGTAGATTTATTTATGTCACTAATAAGTTCCATTTTTTTTCTGATAGACACAATGTAGTTGGCCAAAGTTAGAATTATTTCCTTTTAAAATCTTGATAATTAGTAATCTAAAAATCTATTTAAAGTAAATTTTGCAAAGTATTTGTTAATTTTCTGCTGTCAGTTTTTTGTTCAATTCTATCAGCAAACTCTAACGCCAATTTATTTATCATATTTGCTACCAATATACGTGGATAATTTATTTAGATCATTACAGCTATTGGATCAAATGAGATATATTTCTTTTTTACGAAATACTTTTATCGCTTATTATTTTGAAAAATTTAGTTGCCAGGAAATATAGTAAAATATTGTATAATCGCTATATCTTATTATCAAGACGTTCATCTGCAGATGTGGGGCTGCTATATCAGAGGATACAACTCAATTTCTTCCTTAGACTCGGGGTCATTTCCAGAGGTAATTCAATGTGCGTCACAATCCTCTTTCGCTACTGACAGTGACGTTATGAGATCCTTTTTCGTGCTACTCTGAAGAATCTTCAATTTGGAATCTATAATACACACCACCTAACGGTACTGTAATGTCAATTTTATAATTCCCCATTCAACAACATGATTATTACATAACGTACGTGTACTATATTTACATTGTTGAGTGAGAAATAATAGTATTGATGCTTTAATGTCGATGTACTCTGGGGGGTTTATAGGAAAAAATTTAACAACTGTAGAAACAGAATCTTACAAAAAATGTAAAAAAAAAGAATCTAGAAAGACACATCCTATTAAATTCTCAAACTGTAACTTTCATTTTTATCTTCTTGGGAAATGTAATGACTTACATAACTTTTGCATGCACTATATATTTAGAGTCGAAGTTTTTTATAAATTTAATAAATAATTTGTAAGGAAATTATTCGCTTCTTTATATTTCATGAATTATTATATTACGTCTCTATATATATATATAAAACAAAATTTTTAAGGTAAAATAATAATACATTTTTTTCATATTATATTTCATTTTCTTTGTTTCTTATCTTCGTAATCTCGTTATTTCTCCTTCACATATTATCATAATAACTTATACGATCACCCGATTTATATTTATGTTTTTCCAAAATGTGTACAAGACGATTGACAGTTTGCTCTGGAGTCAACATAATTTTTTGCTTTTCATCTAAGAATCTCTTCTTAGTTTCGGGATCAACAGCAAATTCGCATAAGAAATTAAACATATTTGTGTCGACGGGTCCTGGTGAGTAACTTAACATATTAACATTGGGATTTTCTAGAGCAAACACCTGTAAAGAAACATTGAATGATTAAAATATATATCTGTTTCGAGTTTATGTCGACAAGAAGATGTATTTAAATGTACCTTAAAATACATTTCCCGTGCTGCTTTTACCGTGCAATAGTAAGCAAAGCCTTTTATTGCTTGAATACCAAATAAAGAAGTAATGTTAATAATTGTCTTCTTGATAGTTTTATCATCAAATATATTCATGATCACCGCATTTAATATGGCAGGTATGAACAAATTCAGATCGTAATGTTGTCTCCAAGTGTCGATATCTAGCATCTTGTTCGTAGTATGAGTGATATTACCTAGCGATCCTACATTATGCATTACAATCAATTGATCGAATGCATTGCAAGGAGTACCGCACAAACATTCCGATATGAATCCTAGAACATCAAGAAAATAAAATAATTGTTTTTTCAATCATGTTCATGAGCTGTACACTTGATTTTGAAAACGAGTACTTACTTTCAAAGTCGGTTTTAGTTGCTTTACACAAATCTGCATTAATGGTACAAACTTTTATTTTGGGAGGGATAATTTTAGCAACTTCTTCCAACGCATTTTTATCTCTCGCTAATAAAAGCATACGAGAACCTTCCTCTAAGAGCGAACCAAATGTTATCGCAATTTGCCGACCAATACCACGGCTTGCACCGGTTATCAGTAAAAAAACTTTGCCAGAAAACGCTTCAGTCGACATGATTATAAATTAACTTTATGTTGCAAATTTATGGAAGCTAATTATTGTTCCGATATATTTTTGTGTTGTGATATATTGTTCTGTTGTTGACTTAATCTTTTGCAAGTCCTTTATTATTTCTTTCTTGGTCTATCACTTTGATTGCCTGAAAAATGTTTGTTTTCAAAAGATAATGTGATTCGGTACCACTTGAATAAAAAACAAAAACATTAATTAAAAATAACTCAAATTGTATAAATGTACAGGACTGACTTATAATGAGGACTGAATAATCATTTGAATTTATACATATTCAACAGGTTTTATTTGTGTCACCAATGTGCTGCTACTTTCTAATAAACTTACAATGTAGTTAACCAATGTAGTTAACCAAAGCTAGAACAGACTTACTGCCTTTTAAAATTTTAATAATCAGTAATCTAAAAATTCATCAAGATTAAATTTTGGAAAGTATTTGTTGATTTCTTGTTGTCAGTTTTCTGTCCAATCCTATCAATAAACTCTAACGTCAACTTATTTATCAAATTTGTTACCAATATACGTATCGTAGGTAATTTGTTTAAATAATTACTAGTTGGAGAAATCAAACATAAGATGTGTATCTTCCTTGCAAAATAACTTTATCGCTTATTGTTTTGAAAGATTTAGTTGCCATATAAAAATATTTTATAACAATAATGTACCTTGTTATGAGAATTCACCTGCAAAAGTGGAGCTGTGTGCCGTATCGAAGGATTCGATGCCAATTCAGCTTCTTCCTCAAACTGGGAATTATTCCCGAAGGTTGAATGTGTAATGCAATCCTCTTTCTCCACTGACAATAACGCTACGAGATCTTTTTTCGCGAGATCTTTTATCTCTCTGAACAACCTTCTATCTAAAATCTATAGTAAACATTAGTTAATAATAACGGAACATCATTAAACAGTGGAGTGAGTTTTCCACTCAACAACGTAACTGTTATATAATGTATCTGTTATATTGCATTTACATTGCTAGGTGGAAAATAATAATAATAACATTGTTATCTACTGTTAGTTGATGTTCGTTACGTCGGGTATTTATTAGAAAAAATTTAGAAACTGTAGAAACAGAATCTTATAAAGACTACAAGAGAAGAAAAAATCCAGAAAGACAAATCCTATTAAATCCTATTAAATAGAAAAGACATTCTATTAAACTCAAGAGATAAAAAAATCATTTTTATCCTTTTGAGAAACATTATGGGCGACTTATACAACTTTTATATATTACTCAGAGTCGAATAATTGTCAATATTTTCATCAGGAAAGAATTCTCAAAGCGATATTGTTATTTTAAAAAATTTTTATAGAGAAAAGTAAAAAAGTAGAATCTGTGTGATTAATATAGGTAAAGATATTGTAGTACATGTGATTCTGTAATTTTATAAATTATAAATTTTACAACCTGTGATTTTACAAACTAAATATTATGCTAGTGTATAATATTTAAACACCATAATATTTAAATAACATAATTATAAAGGAATTATTTTAATTTGTTCTACAATATACATATATGTATATACACACACACACATACACACACACACACACACACACGCGCGCGCGCGCGCGCACACATGTGTGTGTGCGTGAGTGTGTATACGCATACGTATGCATATATTTATAAAAAAGCTTTAAATAATTGTAAATTAATAAATGATTTATAAGGAATTTATTCGCTTTTTTATATTTTATGAATTATTATATTACATCTTTAAGAATACAGAATAAACTTATTTTAATTAATATAAAAGAATACATTTTTCTTCATGTTTTGTTTTCTTTATGTTCATTTTCTTTATTTCTTGTCTTCGTATCTCGTTATGCTTCACATTTCATCATAATAATCCACATGATCAGCCGATTTGTATTTGTGTTCTTTTAAAACTTGCACAAGGCGATTAACAGTCTGCTCCGGAGTCAGTACAGTATTGGTTTCTACTATATTGTCAAGGAATTTCTTAGTATCGGGATCAACATTACTTTCGCATGCCATTTTAAACATATCCGTATCGACAGGTCCTGGTGAGTAACTTAACACATCAACATCGGGATTTTCTAGAGCAAAGACCTATAAAAAAAAGGTACGTTAAACATATTTATTTGTTTTAAACCTATGTGATAAAATATACAAAAAGAAAAAATGTATATATACCTTAAAAAACATTTCCCGTGTTGCTTTCACTGAGCAATAGTGACCATAGCCTTTGGCTGCTTGAATGGCAAATATAGAAGTAATATTAATAATGGTTTTTTTGATAGTTTTATCATCAAATATGTTCATGATCACGGCGTTTAACACGGCAGGCACAAAAAAATTCAGATCGTAATGTTGCCTCCAAGTGTCGATGTCCAACATCTCGTTTGTACTATGAGTGATATCGCCCATGCTACCTACATTATGTACTACAACCAATCGATCGAATGAATTGCAAGGAGTTCCACTCAAACATTCTGATATAATTCCTAAAACATTATAAAAATAAAATTGTTATATTTTTTCAATCGTAGAAGGCTAATAATATGCTCTATCTTGAAAGCAAGAACTTACTTTCAAAGTCAGTTTTAGTTGAATTACTCAAATCTGCACTAATAGTACAAACTTTTATTTTGGAAGGAATATTTTTAGCAACTTCTTGCAACGCATCTTTATTTCTCGCTAATAAAAGCATACGAGAGCCTTCCTCTAAGAGCGAACCAAATGTTATCGCAATTTGTCGACCAATACCACGGCTCGCACCAGTTATCAATAGAAAAACTTTGCCAGACAATGCTTCGATCGACATGATTATTAACTTAAATTAACTTTATATTGCAAATTTATAGAAGTTAATTATTGTTCTGATATATTTTTATGATTTGTTGATGACTGGATCTTTTGTAAATCCTCTACAATATTTTCTTCCTGTTCGATCTCTGTGTTTGTTTGGAGAACGTCTGCTTTCAAAAGATGAACTAACTCACTGGCCGTTAGAGCCTACAAACAAAGAGACTCAATTGCATTGAAGACAGTTTAATTTTAAATGAGACTTAAAATTTTAAATTTGTTGTATCAAAGCAAAAGCAATACCTAAAATAATTTAATTTTCGCTTATCTTATTAAAATTAGTGCAAATTAAAGCATTTTCACTTTTGCTTGTACTATAAATTAAAAATTTGAAGTCTTGTTTAAGATAATATTGGAATAACCAGACCTAAATAACTGGAAATATAAAAATGGCTTATCTGATCATGGCTGAATTTAGTGCCTAATAATCATTATATGAATTTATATATATTTTATATATATATATATATATATATATATATATATATATATATATTA